CCGTGTTTGGTCCCGGACTGATAAACAGCGGGCTCTGGTGGCAGCCTGCCACAGAGGGAGATGCTGGCCTGGGGGACTCACTTCCTGAAGGCCTGCAGGCTGAGACTGCTCCCGAGAGGGTACCAGCCGAGTCACTCCTGCATCTATATTTATATGGGTGCAAACAGGGTAGGTGTGCAGATGATGTCTCCCAAGTGGAAGCGCTCCAACTGCTTACATTTTCTTAGTCAAGTGGGAAGCGAGATCATCTGTCGATAGAAATAATCACGGCCTAAGGAAAAGAACTACACTATGATTGGCAGGTCCTAGGAAGTGCCATCTTACGGTTCTGACTGTGAGTATAAAAGGAAACCAGTCCTCTCCGTTGCTTTCTCCAGCTTCACTTAGCTGGGTGAAGCACAGAGTACTTAGAGTAAGCCAAGGATGTGGTTTTGGCAAATCCATGGTGAGAGGCAAGGAAGTTGAAGGTGTGCTCAGAAGAATGATAACCCCACGCTAGAGACTGTGCGTGAGTCTGGAGAATGGGGGGAAGTCAAGGTTCTGAGGTTCAGTTTGCTCGAGGTTTAAGTGTGTTCGAATAAAACGTAGATTTGCGTTTCAGGGCAGGGGCTGGTGGGCGGTTAGAAAGGGATGCTTGTTTTGTAAGGACACAGGAAGCAGTGCTAAAGAAAGGTAGGCTGGTTGTTGGGAGTTTGGAGAACTGAGACGGGCCTGGAAACTTACATTTCTAATACCCTTGGTGGGGACTGGGAAGATGGCTTATCAGGCAAGGGTGCTTGCCTTGAACCCTGAAGACCTACCCGTGTCTGATCCCTGGAACCCAGATCTTATGAAAGAACCAACTCCCACGTGTTGTCCTCGGGTCACTACAAGTGTTCCACACACATACAAAATAAATAATTTTTAAAAAGATCCTTAGCGGCAGTGACGCTGCAATTCTGGCAATCAGAGACCAGCGTGTATGTTGTAGAGGAGTGTTACTGCAGTGGTTCTCAACCTGTGGGTCTTGACCCCCTCCCAGGGTCACGTCTCAGATAGTCTATATAACATTTACACTAAAGTCATACCAGAAACAAAGGTACAGTTATGAAGAAGCCACAGGATAATTTTAGGGTTGTGGGTCACCACATAAGGAACTGTATGTACGAAGGGTCATGATGTTAGAAGGTTGAGGACCACCGTGTTATAGAGTGACATCGAACCAGGAGACAAAATGGCCAACAGATACAAAGGATGTGTAACCTGGTGATTGATTGGTAGGCAACAGTAGCAGACTATCACATGACCTGATATTTACAAGCTGATTTTTATGAGAACTGATTAGAAACTGTGGGGCTAAAGGATGTTTGGTAGCCAAAAAAACGAGATTAAGGCAAGGTCAGAGCTGGATGGTGAGGAGTCCATGCTTGGAGAGTTCTGATGAGTGTGGGAGCTTTTTGTGTGGGGAGCAGGTGCAGGTAAGCGCTCTGTAAAGTATCCCTGTTAGACTGTGTTGATACTCATCACAAGAGTGATCACAATCCGGGGAGATGTAAAAAAAGCCAACTAATTAGGGAATAAGAAGTTCCACCGAGGGCTGGAGAGATGGCTCAGTGGTTAAGAGCACTGACTGCACTTCCAGAGGTCCTGAGTTCAAATCCCAGCAACCACATGGTGGCTCACAACCATCTGTAATGAGATCTGATGCCCTCTTCTGGTGTGTCTGAAGACAGCTACAGTGTAATCATATATATAATAAATAAATAAATCTTTAAAAAAAAAAAAAAAAAAAAAAAAAAAAAAAAGAAGTTCCACCGAGCTCTGTAGTATTTAGACTTAGGAAGTTACTAAGAGAAAATGGACATTAGCATAGTGTGAGAGTAGAGCCAAACAGAGCTGAGACTGTAAGAAAGCAGTTCAGGATGCTCTGTGGGAATACAGACTACAACAGCTCCGCTGCAGGGACTCACCTGTGCCCCACCACTTACTATCCACAGCCTTGGCCAGTCCTCACTGTTCCTCCTGCTCAGCGCTAGACCTGTTGGTGGGTAAACCCTGTATGTAATGTGCCTTAGAGACGGTGGAGGGCTAATTGAGATGGCCAATACAAGTGCTTTTAAAGATATAAACACTTAGCTGGGCAGCGGTGGCACACGACTTAAATCCCAGCACAGAGGGAGGCAGAGGCAAGTGGATCACTGTGAGCTCCACGCCAGCCTGGGCTACATAGTGAGAGTCTAATCTAACAAACAAAATAGCATCCACAAAAGAGAACAAAACTCCAAATAATAAGAGAACAACAACAAGAAACAAATGTATTGAGCGACAGATACACAGAAGATGACTTAGGTAAGAGATGACCGAGTGGTAGGTTCCCCAGCTTCTCTGAGCTGTTAGCCATGTTGCAGTGGGCTTTGGTGATGCCCCCTTGAGTCATTTCTGCTCCTATAAGTAACTCCAATAGAATTCGTTGGTTTGGTAAGTTAAGACTTCAATGGTGTCCTTATTTGGGTCTGTCATGAAATTCCTGTCTGGGGTATGTAAATATGTGTTGTCTCCCATGAAGTTTTGTCACACAATACTTAATTTTTAAAAAAATGTATATGGGTGTTTTTGCCTACATTTCATGTGTATCTGTTCACTCTATCCAGAGGCCAGAAGAGGGCATTGGATCCCATGGAACTTGTTAGAGATGATTGTTAGCTGCCATCTTCTGGAGGGGCAGCCAGTGCTCCTTAACCAGCAAACCTTCTCTTCAAGCCTTGACATTTGACCATCCAGTTCCACCTTCCCTGTTGGCATTATACATGGCCACTGTTTTTCCTCCATTGAATAGCTTTGTGGTTATTCCATACCCTACTCCATTCTTCTTGGATTGCATTCTCCTGGTTTGAGACCGGGGCTCTGAGTAATAAAGACTGGACTCACTCTAGAACCTCCTGCCTCAGTCTTGAGGTTTTCGTTAGGTTATCTCCAGAAACCCTCTTTTGGTCCATCTTCTCAACGAAGTCTAGGTTAGCTTCTTTCAAGTTTATCTTCCACTGTCCTCATGTTAAAACCAGAGCTCTCAGAATAGAGAACAGTCTTGAACAGGTTTCTATGCTTAGGAAGTACTTGGAACTTAGCTGGTACACATAAAACAACTGAACTACAATGAAAACCAAGCAATCAGTATCCACAAATTCCATCAACTCCAAACAGTTCTCTGCTAGGAGGCGAGGTATGTGGAAGCGATGGGGCAAGAAGTCTGGTGAAATCCAGTGATTCCTACAAGCAGCCCCTGCTATTTTAATCTAAGAAAATGCAGACACAGCGTGAGTCACAAAGGTGTGTTGTGGGGAAGAAGGAAGTAGTAGAGAAGACTGTGTCTTCTGGTGTGACTGTTGCTTTAAAAAGGAGCATGACATATTACAAACCACTTGAGTTTAGGTTACAGCAGGCATAGCTGAATTCCTATCTTTGTTATATTTTTCTCCTGGATAGCTTTACTAGTCATGTGCTACATGGAAAAGAAAGTCACCTACACTGTCACAGAAGTATCTCTACGGTCCTTCACTATGCCATTTAAATGACAGAATACTTCCAGAAACAGGGTGGTTTTAGTTTTGATCACTTGTGCTCCTTTGAACATTATATTTCAGAAGAGGGGCAGTCTCCACAGGCTTTGCTGCTCATCTCTAGAAGAGCTGTACTATTTCTTCACTAAGGTGTAGAAGCCATGTTCCAACTGCAGGATGTGATTGTGGGATTTAAAGGACAAAAGCTAAACACTACTGTACTACGGGCCATACGACTTTTACAAATGTACAACCCCTTACCAGCTGCTAAGATTAAGAATGGGTTACAATCACAGCTCTGAGCCAACCAGAGACTGCAGGGTCTGCAGCAGTGGCAACGCTGGATCAGTACCTCATCTAACACCCATAAGACAGACTGATACTAATCACTGTTGACTTCAGCCCGTAACACACCACTCAGACCCTTGGATGACATGAACTATCTATTGAATCTTGCAAAGCTGCAAGAACCACAAAACCAGATTGATAATACATTCCAGTTAGATTATTCTTTGAAAAGAGACAGGATCTGTCTATGTAGTCCTGGTTATACAGGAACTGAACAGGCAGAGCAGAATGGCTTTGAACTCTGAGACCTGCCTGCCTCTGCCTCCCTCCTGAGTGCTGAGAGGTGCATGCCACCAGACCATGCAGTTACATGGTTCTTTTACCCTTCTCTACTGTCAAAGATGTCACAATCATAGATCTAAGAATACTACCCTTTTTTTTCTTGAGGATGGAAATATTCAATTTGAGAAGTACCATCACATTTTTACAGAATTGCTGAAAAATAACCCAATTTTCTTTTTTGTAATTACCATTTATGAGACAAGGTCTCACATAGCCCAAGTTGGTATTAACACCCCCTCCCCCATATTTCCTTGTGAGACAAAGCCCCAGTATTCATTCAGGCTGGTCCTGAGCTCCCTGACTTGAGTGGTCTTACATCAGTCGTTTCTGTTGTTGGGTGTATGCACTACACCCGTGTACATTTTTGGCTTCCTTCTCTTCTTTAGAGATAAGAGTTTCATTGTATAACCATTACTGGCCTGAAACTGTGTAGACCAAGTTAGCTTTAAATATGTAGTGACCCTCCCAACCCTACCTCCCAACTACTAGGCTTACAGACATGGGGGTTTTGGGGGGGGGGGGGAGACAAAAGTTTCTCTGTGTAGCTCTGGCTGTCCTGAACTTGCTCTGTTGACCAGACTGGCCTCAAACTCAGACATCACCTTCCTCTGCTTCCAGTGCTGGGATTAAAGGTGTGTGCCACTACCACTGCCTGGCTTTGATTTAAACCTTTGAATTAAAAATTTAATCATTATATAGTCATGTACCAGGTTATATATTCACATGTATTTTTCCTAACTGTAGGCTAAGCAGCCAGACACTTATACCTGTATCAATGTAACCAAGCTAGAGACAACTCAGCTTACTGTCAGGAAATACTGTGACTGCAGCATCTGACAGGAAACACTGCATTTGACAGCTAGTATTTTATTCAGATAGCAGTCCCGTTACACATGGTCCAAGAACATTCAAATAAGAACACAAATCAGAAGTTAAAGATTGGTCTTCAAACATCATAGCCAACAATGCCACGTTTGCCTATGATCTCTCCGATATAAAACCACATCCACACCTCAGTGGCCACCAAACCATTCAGCACAGCTTCCTGGAAAAGAAAAAGCACAAATTTTAAGGTACTTTAAAAAAAAACAAATAAAAACCCCAACACATATTTGAAACTGTTCTCTCTCAGGATTAACAGAGAATGAAAGGATGCCATTTAAACTACAGAACAGTTTTGGCCCAAGCTAGGAATTACTGATACTCAACGTTGAACTTCTAAGAGCCGGGAACTCTCCATGTTGTGAGGCAAACGGGCCTGAGCTTATAAACTGTTTCAAAGAGATCTTTAAAGGCCTGAACTGGCTTAACCCTTTCATTATTATTTTATGAGACACTTTATGGGTCCTAAACCAACCCACATCCTGGAAGTGGCTCACACATTAGACAGGGCATTCCTAGGAAGGCTTCTCTCTAAACAGACACTTCTGTTTAAGATGAAGGGCTGTCTTCTCCCTCTTTTACTGTCATTTGGTTTAATTTTTTCCAAGTATTCAGTATCCATTTTATGTTCCCGACTAACAAACAAAACAAACAAACAAAAAATAAAAGCAAACCACACATGATTCTAGAAAGCATTGTTTCATGCAAACTCAAACTTAGAATTAAAAACTCTAGTTTCGGAAAAAAAATCCTATAACAAACTGGATCCTTTTACTACTATTAATGAAAGCATTTTTCGAGGTCATTTTCTTCCTTCAGGTTCTTCCTTCAGGTAGACTGGGGGCTACTGAAGTCTCCTGTCACCTTTGCCCAGGCAAAGGGTCTGGCCACAGCAGTTACTAGACATCGGGTGTGCTTAAAGGTTAAGTTCCAATTCTTGTGGCCTTTAATCTACATGCAATCTGAAAACTCTGCCTAATTAACTCTAGATGTTGTTGGCTGTACTGGAGATAATTCTAGGACTAAACAGAAAACAAAGCCCGAAAACTCTATCATCAAATTATAATACACTAGCTGACATTAGGAAGGACAATGAGGACCACCTCATTGAGTGAGGACACTCACCTTTTTGCTCTACAACTACAATTAGACCAAGACAAAGAACAGCTAGATTACTTCTGTCCAGATGACAAAATGAGAAAAGAAAATGTCTTTTCTTGGCAGCCAAAAAAGAGATAATCTCTCATTATGTTGAAGTTTGCCTTATTGGAAAATACATATATTAATCAAAAGAACTGGAAATATCCCCAGGGAAGACATTTTTCAATCACAAACATACTTTTTCATTTAGCACGTAGTTACCTTAACTGTAAGGTGTTTGAAGCTACCAGTTTTAGCACTTTGAATTATTTTTTTCATGCTCTGAATAGCTGTAGGGATTTCACCAGGGGTTGGGGGAATCAGCTCAACCTTGGCATAGTGCCAAAATGTGGCCAATCGAGGCTTCGAGTAAGTCACGGCAGCTGGAAAACAAAACAAAACAAAACAAAACACCCAGGATGAACTCACTAGCGATGGAAAGAAGCAGATGTGTGGGCTGGACACAAATATTTATTCATGTAGCACAGCCACTCACTGCTTGGACTGAATGTGCACCCAGTGTGAAAGTCAGAGCTGCTGCTCCCTGGTAACAGAGGCTTTGAAAGCTGCAGAACACCTGTGTCACAGGGACACCCAGCCAGGCAGGAAGCTCAAAGCAGTTAATTATGTCAGGACTCACTAGTGGCCAGCTAGTACTGTTATTCACCTTTGAATGGCAAATCTAATTAAGTGTAAAGTTACTCATAGCTAGATTTGCAAACAAAGACAAAAGTATATTTTTATTTGTAGAAACACCAGATTTTGAAGAGAAGGGGAAGAAGCTATGTAGAATAGCATTCTTTTAACAGTAAGACTGAGGCTCATCACAATATTGGCCACAAGTCCAGATGAAATTATACCCATCAGTAACCATTCATTTTTTGGTATCCTTAGTGATATTGCTGGCTTAAACCTCCCTTACCAGAGGACAGCTACTCCCCTTTCAAACAGTACACTCAATACAAATACAATTTACATGTATTGGTAAGAACAATCAAAAGTAGAATCTGTGCTGGGTGGTGGTGGCTCACGTCTTTAATCTAATCCCAGTACTGAGGAGGCAGAGGCAGGCAGAGCTCTGTGAGTTCAAGGCCATCCTGGTCTACCAGTGAGTTCTAGGACAGTCAAGGCTATACAGAAAAACCCTATTTCGAAAAACAAAACAAAACACCCTAGAATTGCTACAAAGCTGAAATTCCTTGATGTAGTCACTATTTCAAACCAATGAATTTAGCAGAAGATACAGTAACAAAATCAACACGGGGGTGGGGGTGGGGGGTGGGGGGGGAGATCTGGGGATAGCTCAGTGATAGTGCAGGCACAAGATCCTGGACTGAAGTTATAGCAGACGGTCAAACACACAGAAACAGAGCTGTATGGGGAAGGGCAGGATTCTGATGGAAACACACAGAAACAGAGCTGTATGGGGAGGGGCAGGATTCTGATGGAAACACACAGAAACAGAGCTGTATGGGGAGGGGCAGGATTCTGATGGAAACACACAGAAACAGAGCTGTATGGGGAGGGGCAGGAATCTGATGGAAACACACAGAAACAGAGCTGTTTGGGGAGGGGCAGGAATCTGATGCTGCTGGATTAGGACTGTATGTTTGTACATAGAGGGGCACAAAAATATTTACTCGGTCATTTATTTTTTTTCCTAACAGGTTTTCTCTGCAACCCTGTCTTGGAACTCATTCTGTAGACCAGGCTGGCCTCAAATTCACAGAAATCTACCTGCCTCTGCCGCAACCACTCGGCTTATTTATTCATTTTAAAGAATTTTTTTTGGGGGGGGAGGGGCTGAAGAGATGGCTCAGTGGTTAAGAGCAGTGACTATTCTTCCAGAAGTCCTGAGTTCAATTCCCAGCAACCACATAATGGCTCACAACCATCTGTAATGGGAATCTGATGCCTTCTTCTAGTGTGTCTGAAGACAGAAACTGTACTCACATATATAAAATAAATGAATCTTAAAAAAACAAAAAGATTTCTTTTATTTTGTGTATGAGTGTTTTGCCTGTATGTATGCTTATGCACCATATGTGTGTAGTGCTCACAGCAGTCAGAAGAGGGCACCAGATCCCCTGGAACTGGAATTGTGGTTGTGAGCCATCACACTGATGCTGAGAACTGAATTTAGGTCCTAAGCAAGAGTTCTTAACTACTGACCCATCTCTTCAGCACTAGAAACAAGTATTTACATATACAGACTAACATGCAATTACAGATATCTGTCTGAATACCTGCTGTGCTGATTAGTTTTGTGTCAACTTAAGGAAAGCTAGAGTCATTTGGTAAAGAGGAACCTCAACTGGCTGGGGAGTGGTGGTGTTCACCTTTAATCCCAGTGTCCAGAAGGCAGAGGCAGGCAGGCAGGCAGATCTCTGAGCTTGAGGCCAGCCTGATCTACAGAGTGATTCCAGGACAGCCAGGGATATACAGAGAAACCGTGTCTCAACAACAACCTGGAAAAAAAAAAAAAAAACCCAAAACCCAAAACCCAACCAAGTAAACAAAACCAAAAACTAAAAAACAAAAATGGAACCGTAATTGAGAAAATGCTACTACCAGTTTGGCCTATGGTACATTTTCTTCCTTGGTGACTGATGTGAGAGGATCCAACTCACTCAGGGTAGTGCCACTTCTGGGCTAGTAGTAACTGGGTGCTATAAAAAAGCAGCCCAAACAAGCTACAGGGGGCAAGCCAGCAAACAACACTTAACTCTAGGTTCCTGCCCTGATTTCCCTGGATGATGGATTTCAAGCTGTAAAAATGAAATAAACCCTTTCCTCCTCAAGTTGCCTTTAGCCATGGTGGTTCTGTTGTTGTTGTTATTTTAAAGATTTTATTTATTTTATATACATGAGTACATCATCACCGTCCTCAGACACACCAGAATTGGATCCCATTACAGCATTACAGATGGTTGTGAGCCACCATGTGGTTGCTGGAAATTGAACTCAGGACCCCTGGAGGAGTAGTCAGTGCTGAGCCATCTCTCCAGCCCGGTCATAGTGTTTTATCACAGCAAAAGAAACTAAACTCAGACACCTGCCCACTGAGAGAACTTTGAAATGGACTCTAGTAGCAAGGAACAAACCCAGAACCTAGAAGGTAATTTGTAAATTCCATTGTTTAATAAAAGGACCCAGGGCTCCTTGGAAAACTGGCCAAGGCTAAGGCTGGACAGGGAAAATAAAAAGATGACTTATCATGTAGAGCCAACAACTAAGAAGGCATGTCAAAGTGGGCAGAGGTACCAACTTAAGCCTGGCACAATCTCAGCAATAAATGACATAGAATTAGATACAAGAAGTATGAAAGAAATTTAAAAGAGCCAATACAATGTACAATTGAAATAACAGGAGGGGGGGAAGGGAGGGAAATGGAGTAGAGACAAATCTTTCTCACAGAATTTCACTTAATATATGTAGAAAATGGATTCACCCACCATACTAACAGAAAACCCTTCTGCTCTCGTTACTTGCTTATAAAGAATGGGTGTAGACACATAAGGCGTGTCACTACCAGTATGTCATTGTGATGCTTTTGAGTAGTGGGGAATAAAGGTAAGAGGTGGATTTGCTGAGAATTCCAGAAGAGGGAGGTGTGCACATGAAAATGAATAAAGTTTGTTATATAAATGTATGAAGCCACCAAAAAAAATAAGAACAGGTGCAGAAAGTCCAAGCCATAGTTTTACAGTGGAAGACCACATCAGATCAATAGATGGGCATGAAAATCACAATGTCCTAATATGTCATCAGGGCAAGTGGTCTCTGTGGCTCTTCTTAAAATCCCTAATTCCAGGCTAATCAGAGAAACCCAAGATAACCAGTTTGGAGAACATTCTTCAGGGTATCTAGGCAGATACCTCCAAGTGGCCAAAATCATGAAAGCAAAAGATCAGATCTATGAAGGGGAAACTGGAGACACAGGACAGCTAGTAGTAAAGTAATATTCTAGACTGGGACATAGACTCCAAAGATATGAATGGAAAAGCTGATGAAAACCAAATAAAATTTACAGCTTAGTTAAGGGGAACAAAAACAAAAACAAAACAAAAAAACAGACCTTGACCTTTCTGGGGGAAGTATGACGATAAAGTTATTGACTTCTTTCTTTAAGCTACATGCCCCATGGACGGAACTGAGAGACCTAGTCAATAGTCAGTATCAAATACTTTAACATTCACATTTAAGACACCAGCCTATGCTGTAGAGCAAAATCTCCTCAACAGTCTGTTCCATCAGAGTCCTTGTTTTTCAGTACTTCTGGAAGAACAAGTTGTCTTACAATTACAACAGTGGAAAGGGTTCATTGTGTTTCATGACTCAAGTTTACCTTGGCAATGTCTTTCGTTTTGGATCTTATCAATAAAACCAGTGTTAAATTCCTGAATACAAGCTACCTAAAAGATGCAAAAGTCATACAGCTGGGAAAATATTCCCTGTGAGATACTAAAAATAGCACCTCAAACCACCAAAGTCCAAATGTCAAAACCTTTTGGTTGCATTAGTGTAAAAATTGCAGCACTTTGCTGCAGTTCACCTAACGATTCTGTTAAAGAAATTCTTTGGAAGACAGCTATTGGCAGCCTAGGGTTCCATGGGAAGGAATCCACTATTTATAGACTCTGGCACTTTAAGGGTTTCAGTAGCTCACTATTGTCTGGCTGGTGATGAAGGGGAGGAAAAAATTAATTGCTAAATATCCAAACACAGCAAAACAGGTTCGAAAGCTCAAAATTACAAGTTTTTAAAATTCTACCTTCGAGGGCTGGAGACATGATGGCTCAGCTCTTGCCTGCAATGGGAGCTCTTCCAGAGGTCCTGAGTTCAATTCCCAGCAACCACATGGTGGCTCACAACCATCTCTAATGGAATCTGATGCCCTCTTCTGGTGTGTCTGAAGACAGCTACAGTGTACTCATATAAATAAAATAAATCAATCTTTAAAAAAAGAATTCCACCTTCGACTCACATTTTATAACCTAATCTGAATATCTAGAAACCTGGCTTTCAACCACTTACTATAATACAGTAGAGAAGGGTCTGTAAACGCAATCTTTTGCTTCAGAAATACAATTTGCTATTCAGAAGAGAACTGTATCGATTGAATATACTGCTTAGGCTTGTTTATCTGACCGCGGTCTACCAGAATTTTCAAACAAAACAACCCCACGAATGCTAAGCCATCGTTCTGAAGTCGACTGCTGACAGGCATCGCTTTCTATGCTGACGGGGGAGAGGATATTCATCCCCACGTTCCAAATTTCCTTCGTCGGACGCAGAATTCTCTAGGATCTGACCAGGATGGTAAACAAACATAACTTTCAAACATCTCTCACCCATCTTTAAAATTTTCTGATGACTTTCAAATACTTCGCTGAGACCCAAACCAGCTGTGAGGTCTGATGTGACCCGTTACCATCCTCCCCTTCCCAGCTCTCCCGGTACGGTAAGAGGGCGTCGTGGCGTTCGCGGCGGAGTGAGGCCGGGCAGAATCACACGACCCACTTCCCGGCCGCGGTTAGGGCCCAGCAGCTTGGCACCCTAAGCAGCCGGGGGCAGGCCAGGCGAGGTTGCGGCCTTACAGTCGCCTCCTGGAGACCCTCCCGACGCCCGCGGGCCCCCTGGTGCCGCAGCACACTCCTTCCCCTCGCGAGCCTCCCCCGGGGCTCACCGGCCACCATCGACGGTGCCTTCTCCGCGAAGCTGCGGACGAACTTGGCCATGATCTAAGGTGGAAGGTACTTCTCCCCGAACCACCGGCTGAATGTCACCCCCGGAAGGACCCGCGGCAGGACCCCTTCCCCACTTCCAAGGTCAGGCTGCCCCTCACCATGCCTGTTCAAAATATATAGGTATCGTTTCCGTCTTTGTGGCATCTCATTAGCCAGTTTATTTTGTTCAGCACAAGTGAAAACGTAGATATAAAAAAAATGAGGCAAGATAACACGTGGAGAATTATGAGACTCATGAGGAAACAGGCATTACCTGGGACAGCTATTCATGATGGTCCGGAAGATCGTTGAAGTGGGGAAATGCGCATGCGTCATTGATATTCTTGGATTCATCTCCATGTTAGCTTGTGGCAGTTTCGTAGCTTTTCAGAAAACATGGAAATCGAAGCTGGCAGGCTTCCTAAGATGCTTGTGGGCTGATATGTTCGTGTTAAAGGCATAGCAGGTCCAAGACAAATAGGAGCTTTAGGGGTCACATAGACGTTACATTATGTGACTCGCCCAATCAATGACTTCTTTGACTTTTTATAATTCCGTTTTCCTCCGCAGCCAGTATCAGAATTGGTATCCAATCCGCCTTTTCAAACAAGCCACTAGGAGCTGTGCGGACAAGAGGAAGAGTGTTGTGGACTGAGGGGGTGCGCTATGCCAGGCATTTTGTAATTCAGTGGAAGCATGCTTTGAGTATTGACCCCTTAGAGACCAGGATTCCTAAATAGTCATAGAAGGAGTATCAGTTGCAAGATAAATGCAGAAAGGAACATAAGATTAGGCATGGTGCTGACCTGGGAAGACGTAGAGATCCTTGGTGTGTAAGAAAACATACAAATTCCAAAGGCTTGTAATTTTGACATTATGAATGAAAACAACAATCACCAAAACAGAAAAGCCAAAACTATGTAGGAAAGTGACATATGATGAGGGGAACAAGTTCTGCAAGAGCCCAATCTTTAGAAGTAAAACTGATGGGATGGTTAGGTAGAAAGAAAAGAAGTGGGATCAAGGAGTCAAGAGCATTTCAGTGAGGGAGAGACAAGCGCCTTAGGCAGTGACGTCAAATTAAAGCAGGAAAGATAACCTAGGTGGTGAAACCCACGTTATGCCAGCATACAGGAGCCTAAGGATTGGAAGTTACAGGCCAGTCTGGACTAGGGTAAGACAACAGTTATTTGGGAGAAAGATAGGGCAGCTATCAGTATGAACATCTGTGACATTAACTAGGAAAGGTTTCAAAACCTTAGAAATCAGATTGCATCACTGAGGAAATATGGAAGCAAGAGGATATAAGTCAGACAACTCAAGAGGAAGGTAGAGATCAGGAGAAACTGAGAAATTCCAAGTGAGGAATCTGATGCATGTCACCTGAGTGAAAAGGAAATGAGAGGTGAGAGAACTTGGCATGAGCAAGGCTACACTTCAGAGTGTCCCAAGAACACGGGGAAGAGCTGCTGGGCCGTGGTGGAGCCCACAGTGGCCTGTAGTTTAGGTCTTCGAGGGTAATGGTTAACCTGAGAACCTGCATGTCGTAGGTATGGAAATGGAATAAGGACATGGTGGCAAAGTATCCAAAGGTCTGTTATTTAGGTTAGATAGTGAAGTCATAAAGGAGCTAACTAGATACGTAAGCACTCCCTGAGACTTGTCTTCTGAGGACAGCCCCAGGGTGCCTCGAGCTTTCAACCTTCCTAAAGCTGCCACCCTTAATACAGTTCACCCCAGCCATGAAACCATTTTTTGTTGCTTCTTCTTAAGTATAATTTTGCTGCTGTTATGAACTGTAAATATGTATTTTCTGACGGTCTTAGGTGACCCACAGGTAGAGAACCACTGCTCTAAAGGGCTGTGGTGAGGCCGGTTAGGTCGGCCAGCTTGTACACATTTGCTAGTATCTTGCCTTTGAGAGTGGCAAAACCCACTAACTAGGTAGGTTTTCAGAGTAACTTCTGAAATTGTTGCTTTTTCTTTTTGTGTTAGTGGTACTGGGATTGGATTTAGCAATGTGTATGCCAGGTAAGCACTCTACCAAAATTTAAATGAAATGTCTTGATAAGATGCCTGGACTGGCTTTGAAGTCACTAGGTAGCCTTGCCAGGCCATGCCCTCCAACCCTCCTATTGTTAGTAGTGGGGATGACAGGCATACACCATACCAGGCTGCCACTAGCTTTCAGGACTGTAATGAAGGGATAACAAGGGTGGTAAGTCAGGTGCTCATTTATTAAATACAAGTTTTGAGCAACCCCTCCCTCCCCCAGGCAAGTCTGACAGAAAGTAACTTTCCTGGAATGTTTCAAATACAGTCGTCGATGGAGTTTTGCTGTTTTGTTCTTCATTTTCTGTCTCTAGGTTCTTTTCCCATTCAGCAGTTAGAACTTGTGCACTATTTCCTCACATGACAATGGTGCAGCATCAGGCTGGCTTGTCATGGTACCCAGTAGGCTTAGGCTTTGCCCGATGGCTGCTTAGCAACCAGAACCAAATAAAGTAATGAAGCTTTCACAGAGTGGGGTACTGAGCAGCAACTGGCACCTTCACCTGCACCGTCAGGCTACTTCTCAAGTGTCCCTCAATTTTCACACACCCACAGCAAGCTATACTAAACAAACAAACAACTGCCCGAACTCTAAATTTTCCAAGTTTAGTATTAGCCTCTTGGTGAGTTATGAGCTGACTGAAGTCTTCACTTTCCTTTTGTACTCCAGCAAAGTCATCATGTGAAAGTCGGTATGTCAGGAAGTCTTAACAGATTTACAGCTGCTGCGGAGTTCCAGGCAAGGTGCCCTTTGACCTTTCCAAATGCACATATGTATCTTACTGTACCAGGATGGGAGTCTTTAAATAAGTTTCTTTTTCTGGATGTCTTTAAATTAGTTCACAGAAAGAAAGAAGGCACAGAGGACACTTGGTTTCCTCACCAACAGTGGCCTTAAGCTACACACTTGCTTTTGTGATTAAAGGTATTCAGCAGCTTCTGTGGTGTCATAGCCAGTCATAGAAAAATATCAGAAGAGCTTAAAAAACAAAACAAACAAAACAAAACACAAACTTGCCAAAAAAAGGCTTACAATCTGGTTTGGTTCAGAAGCAGAATACAGAGACGCTCGAGGCAGCATGGAGCTCATCTACTAGAAAGCTGCTGGGAACAGTTGTCTTCTGGAGGGTTTGTACCCATTTTCCATCAGTTTTCACTTACAAAACTTGGGTCTTCCTCCATTTTCAAATAAGAGCATAAAAGCATCCTCCCACATTAGCTTTGGGAAAGTAAGAGCAGCAGGTAGAAGCTTATTTCATACGCAGTTCATTCCCAGAGAGGGAAAGGAGAATGCTACATACAGAAAATGAAGTTCATTTGAAGAAATCCTGTTAACATACACCTAAAGGCCCAGGGGCACAATGAGTCTGTCTTAACCTTCTGGTATTTACAGATATGCCTGAGGCTTCCCTGTTCACAACAGGTAAAATTTTTTAATAGCCAGAGTGACATGTTCTCTCTAATCACAAGTTTTCCAGTTGATACCAACAAGAGAAAACACACTAGGACTGCTTACAGCAACTTGTGTTGGAATACTGAAACGCTGCTTTTGTGTATGTATATTCTTTTGTAACAGTAATGTTCTGTTAAAAGAAGCCACAGCCACATTTTCTTGTCCTTTACACCTCTGGGCTGAGACTGAGACTGATATACAAACATCCCACAAAGGACTGAGCCTCTTAGAGCAAAAACAGCTGGAGAGGTGGGGCAGAACCACTTATTAACTGCCCAGAGATAAGTAGGTATTTAAAATGGCTTGGGGCAAGACTTTGCTTCAGTCTCTACTTTGTTAACTGATAAACTGAGGCTAGGAGAGAAGCAGCTCTTAGAAGCCAGGTCACAGCCCAAACACTAGCTATGTACATTGTAGAGTCTTCGGTTTTCGCCTGACGAGAACAAGCGAGCAAACACTGCCACACACTACATAAATCTTACCCGGGAAGACATGATATAGAACGTGGCACTCAAGTAAGTGAGACCAATAAAACAAGGACACAGTATCTGTGTATTTAATACATACACACTGAGATATACTGCATTAAGTGTCCTAAGATGACACTTCCACATAGATACAATATTTATTGCCTATTTACCCAGGCCTAGTCCTTGGAGCACAAAAGAGAAAAGGGCCCAAGAGCTTCTTATTTATCCTCTTATTGGAAGTTGCACACATTCCTGTCACACACCGGAAGATCGTACAGCTACGTTTTTGGTGGTGAGATCCTCACAGGAGTGTTTGTGATGGTATCTTTAAGTGACAAGATAATACAAAAAAGTTGTATAACTCATCTTCTCCATCAGCCAAAAAAATCTATACACATACTAAGGTATTTGCATTTATCTGAAAAGTTACTCTGTAATATTACAGAGCTATAGTAAGGCCAGGTGCTTAAGTCCAGACCTTATGGGCTAGTAAATACACAGGACAGGAGGGTTTTTGGATGTTATCAGCTGTCACTGAAGTAGCTGACATCATAGACTTAAAAGCAGTGCTCACTAAAAAAGTGTCTTAACAGTACTTGGGAAGGGAAAGAATAAAATGGCAGGACATTTTGTTGTTGGACTTAATATAATTTAGGATAGAAAAGGAAACAAGAGGACTAGGAAAACCAAGGCAGAAGATTAGTGATGACTTATAAAGCCGCTGTGAGGGGGAGAGTTTCCTGTAAGCCAGGGAAACAACAAGGTCTTAAGAATCGTAATTATCATAATTTGTACAAGAACAATTTTCTAATTTAAACAACAAAGAATGAAATAAACCAAAACCAAAACCAAAAAAGAAAAAAAAAATCCAACCAAAAAACCAAAACAAAGAAAGAAAAAGGAGAGGACCAGAGCCAGAAAGAGAGAAATGATAAGCAACTGTTTACACCCTGGGCATGTTCATGGTGGAGAGTTCACAGTATTTATTCAAGTTGTTCCTTTTGTTGCTTCCTCTCTGCGAGCCACCGCTGGATTTTTTCTTTCAGTTCTGTGTTTGGCCGGATCTGGTCCATGGTAAGAGGACTACGGTTAAAAGGATCTGTTTGGTCACTAGGACA